CCAGACTTGGCGCGAAGCTGTTTGGAAAGGTGAGATGAGGAGAAGGACACAAGTCCGCAGACCCTGCCGAGATATGCTCATTGCAAATGCTGAGGTCCGCCCGTCTGAGAGAGGCCCATCAAGTGAACGAGCCTTTCGGCTATATCGACAGCAAAGTCTTCGTCGTTGACGGTTCGTTGGTCCTCCACTACAGGCACCTTCGGTCCTTTGAGACCGGCTCTTATCGTAGAGAAGAGGGCTTCGTCGGCTTCGGCGTCGTGGAATGGGCCACCGGGTGTCGCGATCATACCTACAAATCGGCGAATGGCAGCATCAGTGGGTGTCACGGAAATCGTGCCAGGCTTACACGAACTGGGATGCTTACTCACGCCTCCCAATGGGAGTACGACCTGCACCTGCGCCGCGTTCTTGGTGAAGTGGTTGACCTTCTTGACGATAAAGTCACCGACGGCTTTACAATCTTTGGTATTTGTCCGCATGAGGGTCACAGTGGGGTTGTGTTCATATAGATTCCGCTGTTGATAACGTTCGGGGACTGTACTCCGGGGTCCAAAGTTGACCATATCAGTCGCCCCGACGGAGACGATGTACGGAATGCCTGCTTTCAACGGTGCCTCGAGGCGTAGTGGTCCGGCATTCATCACGCCCCCACACAATTGGTCTAGCAACGAAGGAAAGGCAGGTCAGCTAGTGACTCACGGAATCGTAGACAGCCGAGTCCGACAGGCACTCACCGCAGATCTCAGTTGTGGTTATATCTAGGACTGCCTCGAGCACACCTTCAGAGACAAGCCGCTCCATCGCTCTACCACCGGCGCCAGTGCAATCTACACGGAGCGAGGGCTATCAGTCATCGAATATCTTACCTGAGAGCTATACTCAGCAGACTTACGGAAAACGAAGCACTCAATATCATAGTTGCTTTCCAGATGATCACGAATCTTGTCTACGCACGGTATCGTCACCCCAAACATCGTGAGACCGACACGCTTCTTCTGCTGCGCACTCACTCCCTGCGACGACGCAGCAACCGACCTCTCGTAGGCGTGAGCCATGCCCGCGATCGCTCCAGCGGCATTCGACAAGATGCGCCGAAGCAGATAGTTTAGACCCGCGATATCACACACCGAATACATCATGGTAACGTCCGACTCGCCTACGATCGGTCCGACGTCGCCCGACGCATTCGTCGATACGATCAACTTAGGCAAACCGATCGGCAGCACTTCTCGCATCACCGCCGATGCCAGACTGGTGTTCCCAGTCCCCCCAGCATTGATGCAGCCATGGATGGCAGCGTCGGGGTCCTTGAGTCCTTTGCTGTACGCTTCGGCCAGCCATTTGGTTGCGCATGCGATCATGTACCTAATGACCTCGCCTCTCGGCAGACTAGCAACGTCCTTGACACCACTCTCCGGCGCGAACTCGTTCGCGACTGTGTCTTGTCGGACGTTGACGTGTTCATGAGCTGAGGGCGTACGTCCAACGTCGACGAAGGTGACCTTGCAAGATGGACCTCCGCTTTCGAGGATCTGTGAACGCAAGTACAAAAGCTCGGCGAGCTTTGTGTCGCAAGTGCCCAGGAGTACAATGTGCGGCATCTTGTCAATATCTTGTTGGTGAATTGATCGTCCTTGCACACTAAGTCATGTTGAAGACACGGGGTTAGCATTGGCAGCATCAAGAGGAGCTCGTCGTGCGGAGACAGCTGGGCTTCATCCGCTGCAGGGCAAAAGTGGGCGCCAGGTACTTGTACATGACCGATCATTGACTGCATATCTCAACTTCTCGCGACCCGACAATCAAGAGGTTGTCGAGTTCTTGGTTCCCACTCGTGCTTGCAGCCAAAGCGCTCACTATGGCTCCTCCGACAGATCGGAAGCAAATTTTAGAAAACTTCCGGAAACAGATCAAGGATGGCCGGGCAATTGTTGGCGCTGGGGCAGGTATCAATCTCACCCTCGAACCTTGATGTGAACATCGCTCAACATCACCCCCAGGCATCGGCCTCTCCGCCAAGTTCGTCGAAGCCGGCGGCGGAGATCTGATCATCATCTACAACTCCGGCCGCTTTCGGATGGCCGGGCGAGGATCACTCGCCGGCCTGATGCCGTACGGCAACGCCAATGACGTGGTCGTCGACATGGCGAAAGAAGTTCTTCCCGTCGTCAAGCACACTCCAGTCATCGCTGGTGTTTGCGCTTCGGATCCGTTCAGGGATATGTCGCGGTTCTTGAAGCAGCTGAGGGAATTGGGCTTTGCGGGCGTGCAGAACTTCCCGACTGTTGGGCTGATCGATGGCACGTTCAGAGCCAACTTGGAAGAGACGTAAGTGTACTTCCTAACTCCCCAGCGTGTTGGAGCTAACGTCGTGAACAGTGGAATGAGCTACCAGCTCGAAGTCGACATGATACGAATAGCGCACGAAATGGACATGCTCACCACGCCGTACGTCTTCAACCCCGACGAAGCGACCAAAATGGCAGAGGCCGGCGCCGATGTCGTCGTGGCCCACATGGGTCTCACATCCAGCGGTTCGATCGGAGCGCAGACCGGCAAAAGCCTCGAGGACTGCGTGGGCGAGATCCAAGCCATCCGCGACGCTGCCTCGAAAGTCAACGGCGATATCATCGTGCTGTGCCACGGCGGACCGATTGCGAAGCCAGAGGATGCGCGGTTCGTGCTGGAGCGGTGTCAAGGCGTCCATGGCTTTTTTGGCGCGTCGAGTATGGAGCGGTTGCCGGTCGAGGAGGCCATCACTGGTATTACCAAGACTTTCAAAGGTATCAGCATACGACAGTGAGCCAGTACCACGTCAGCCTTCACAGGGATACGGCCGTCTGATATCATATGCAACACACACGTCTCACCGATCGTTGGCGTGCATACACAATGCCTTCGTCGCAAGAGGTCGGAGGACTTAAGCGCCGCCGAGAGAAGAGCAACAAACGCAGTCCGTAGTCAAAGGTGGCTGGGGCCGATCGTAAGGCCGGTCTTGAGGAGGGTGTCAAGTACGTTGAGGTGCTGAGAATCGCGTACGAGTAGCCCTGCATTACATATTACTTCCCCTTCCAAGTCCGTCCCAGGAACACAACGACCCAGCCCCTTTGCGAACAGTCATAGCCCTCCTGCACTAGGGTTGGGCGCTACTTGTCCATGACGACCACCACATTGCGCTAACAGACGTGCTGATGTGTTGTTTACAAAAAGAGAGCAGCGAGCGCACCAACACCAACAAGGCTGCCCGCGACCTTGAGGCCAGTCGCGCTTCCAGTGTACGGCATCGGGATGGCACTGCTAGTACTTTTCGGGGCGCTGAATTCACCGTCAGTCATGGAGAGTAGTACGACGGCGATTCGACTTACGCAGTGCCTGAAGCGTAGCCGCTTGCGACGGGCACGCCGGTGCCGGTCGGGTAGTAAGGTGCGATGGGACTACCGGTACCGGTCGCGCCAGCCAGAGAGCTCGATGAGACGGGGTACGGTACCGCTGCTGGGGCTGAGGAATAGACAGTGGGTGCGGCCGGAGCGCTGCTGACTGGAGCGACCGGCGAGCTGGCGGCACTGCTGGAGACTGGCAGCGCAGTCGCAGACGATGCGTGGTAGGTTGAGACGATAGCCGGGGCCGACGAAACGGAAGAAGTAAACACGACGACCGGGGCAGACGAGATGGAGGATGCCGGACTGACGACCGGGGCAGAGCTGTAGTGGCTCGGAGCTGGCACAGAGGTCACACTCGGGCTGGTGGAAGAGATTGGTGCCACCGAAGCTGAGGTGATGCTCGTCGTCACAGGGGCCGCAGTGAAGCTTGAACTGGCCCAGCTGCCACCGTGGCTGTAACCTGCCGGACCAGCTGGGTGAGTCGTAACGGATACGATGGTCGACGTACTTTGACGGGCCGGGCTAGAGGGGCTGTCAGATCGACCTTCCCAAGGGGACACCCGGTAAAGCGCACCAGTTGGTCACCTCAGGCCCGCAGGACGTGATGGTGAAGACCTCGGTGTCGTATAATGTCTCCGTCGCTTGAGGAGCTGGCAGCGCAAAGGCAACGCCCACGAGAAGGGTAGTAGCGATGAATGAAAGCATGGTGCTTGTTGGTCGGAGTATTGTGAAGATTGGGTGAGTTGGCTGAGAGAAAATCGAGAAAAATCCGATAGCGTGGCGTTTGCTGTTGTCTGTTGAAACGAGAGGACGACCGGAGTCAATATTACGAGTTGATGAAGTGATGAGAGTAGCGAGAGAGTGTCGTGTGGAAAACGAAACAAACACCCACGGCGGCCATAACTACCTATACTCGACGACGCAGTACGAGGTGGTGTCAACGGCGAGATTGCGATGCCGTTAGCCGGGTGCTATGGCCAGAGCCGCTGGACGCCAGTGGTTCAGACGTTAGATTGGGATACAGGGGTTGAGGAAGTGTTCCTGAAGATCACGCGACCACTGTTCCGCAACCCATGTCGTCGTCGCTGTAGCACGGCGTTGATGTGGGCGTGGTCAGTGAGGTACTGTGCGAAATACACGCGCCTGGTCGTTGTGCAAGTGCTTCATTCGTGTGAAGTAAATGAGCTGCCACATCATTGGACGAGGGTACAGTAACGAAGGCAGTCTCGTAGTAAAAGTGTGGGATGATGAAGTCGCGCAATTCCTAAACGCCACACGACCCCTACTGCAGTCGTGCGCCAAGAACCTGGGGTTTTGTGGGGAAATGACTCGCAATGCCATGAGGCAACGATTGGCCAAGTCCAATTTCGGGCTTCGCACAATGTCACACGTCGGAGCCAATAAGGAAGTCAAACACAACTTAATCACAAGACAGCCGTTAGCATATAGTTGTCGTATCTATGTCATAAAAGAAACAGACGTTATGTCTCGTATGCTCCGATTGATGCTCTCGCTTCCGATGACAGGCAGAGCATACATTTTCACTTTGCAGTTGCAGCTACTCCGAGTTGCTGTTGTGACTATATGATTGCCGTTGGCGGTGGGCCTTCCATGGAACAAGCACTGGTGGTTTAGTGGTAAAATTGGCGCTTGCCATGCAAGCATGCGCCAGCCCCGGGTTCGATTCCCGGCCAATGCAACACAATAGCAGCATTCACTCGTTGCCTTCTTTTGCCATTGTTGGCCAGGACCATCACCCCCGAGACCACCTGCTGTCAGTCAGCCTTGGTATCGACTTGTAACAGCCCGGCGAGCAATTTTTGAGGGCGTGGAATATTGCGTTGTAGCAAACAGAAGCTTGAGCATAAGGTACTCTCATATCCTTCGGCTTACCCATACCTCGCTAGCGACAATCGACAGTGCAATACAGACGAGCGTTGGCATCGACGAGGAAGGACGGGGTTGTAATTTTCTAACAGGATAGCACTGGCAGTACCTGAAAGCCCGAAAGTGAATATTCAGGCCCGTCAGTCCTGGGGATGGGTGACACCTCCAACTGGATGCCTCAACGTCGGACACGATCATGAATACTGGACGAAGCCGGGTCTCTCGAATCAAGTCGATTCGCGAATGATGGCGATGATTGAAACCCGTGATAGGTAAGGTGCCGCCACTGCTCCCGGAGTGGGAGTGAGGTCTGGCGCCGTGCCATGAACTATCGTGTTGCCGCAATGTTCCTCTTCACGCAGTATCGATGTGTCTCAAGCAGAGGTCTGTAATTTTGAAAGCGAATTTGTGGCATGGCGGGTGACAGGCGAAAGCGATGGCGTACACAGCACTGACTAGCAAGCTACCTGCTCTTCTTGCCACCTCCCGCGGCGGTCTCCAATCCTTGCAGAAGTTCTTGTCCGAAGACGTACATCATGTATGTCGGGAAGACAAGCCAGGCACCATTGGGAATGATCCAGAGGAAGATCAAGCTCATCACGTCGTTATGGCCGATATTGTCGAAGCCTGCAAACCTTTATCAGCAGCGACCATAAACCCGTCAGTGGTCAACATACCCGAGAATGCCTCATTCAGCCAATACAACACCGTCTTGCTAAACGTCAACCAAGCCGTGCTGAAACCCAGCAAAACCGCATACGTCGCCACCTTCCCTTCCACCGTCCGACTCCGCGCTAACCCCTCCAACAACCCCAGCTTCTCCCTCCTAGGCGCCCCCCTCCCCTGCCGTTTCTCCTGCCGCCCATACGCATACACAACGTACAAATACACAAGATACGCCACCGTCTCCACCGCATTGAAAGCGCCCTGCGCGGACGTCCACCCGTTGTGCGCGTTGTACGATTTCCAGCCGTAGACGTGGTCCACGCGGCCGTAGAGCTCGTAGGGGACCCATAGGGGCGAGTGCAGGACGCCGCCGGGCATGCTGTAGGGGCGGAGGAGCACGTAGCCCGTGTCCCAGATGACTAGGGGAAGGCTTATGGCGAGCCAGATGAGAGTCAGGTTGGAGGGCGTGTGGGACCACGCGGGGGTCGAAGGGGTGCGTGTTGAGAGTGTGCGCGTGGGCGCTGAGGTGAGAGGGGCGCGTGGTGCGGGTGGCGATTGTATGGGTGCGGTGGGCATGCTGGGTGTTATGTTGCGTTGTGTTGTGGTTGTGGTTGTCGCGGTCGCAGTGACTGTTGATGTCCGTGATGCGCGCTTCGACGGCGATGGCTTGACAGGAGGCTCGGTTGCCGGTGCCTCGAAGTCTTTGGGGTGGTTACGCGTGGCGACCATACTGAAAGCGTTGCCAAACGCCAGAGGTGACTTGTGCGTTGCTAGTGTGTTGGTGTTGGTGTTGGTGTTGGCGCATGAGGATGGGACTTGGAAGCAGCGTTCGATCAACCCCACCTCAACCCCGCCATCACAACATCATAACATCATAACAGCAACGACAAGTTGCCTCTATTTACACCAACCTTCGACGGTCATACCTTATTCTCGCATCGACCGACAAACAAAGGAAGCGCTCGGTAAACCAATTAATAGCGGACCCAACGATCGGGTCGAGCTCTCAAGAATTACTACATGTACAGCAAAGCCGGCTCCTCCATGTCGATCCCCATGTCCACACATGAGAATGAGGCAGCCGACCGAGTGACCGAGTCTCTCATGCACCAGCACATTGAGACCATTCGGCCGTTGCACAATTTCCTAGTCCACGCGCTAGAGCAGGATCACGTTTTCCGTCATTGCTTTCTTGCCTCTGCACAGTTGACCATTTTGTGTCCTCAGGGAGCAAGACAAAGCTCACAACGCTTCCAGGACATAACGAAGGCTGCGTGTATGCTCGGTCGATGTGGCATATCGCCAGTCTATAGTTCCGTCTTTGCATATTCATCCGAGTCAGAAGCAGCCGCCGTGCACGTCTGCCCTGCAGCGTCCCGTTCACACCCCAACGGACACTGCGCAAGCTCGTCAAATTGCCACGCAAACAAGCCATCGGTCTCGTCGGCCAACACGCCACCCACCAGGTTTGTCGTCGTCTTGAGACCACTAGTATGTGCGAAAAGCTCGTGGCTCGTGAAGTCAATCTGGGACCACCCGAACTTCCTCAACGTAGCGATACTAGTCCCAAAGACACACTCGTGGAAGCCAGCCCATCTGATGGCGCTGGCGCACATTGGGCACGGCTCAGCGGTGGTATACAGCGTCAGGTGTTTGTAGGCTTCCGATACCTCAGCTGGCAATAGCCGGTACTTTCCATTGGGATCTGAGAGCACGGCTGTACAGTTGTTGATCCCTGCGATCTCCCCGTGGAGGGTCGGATTGCCGGTCGACGAGATTGCGTTGGCGCCAATGCAGACCAGATCGTCGTGGGTACTGGTGTGGTTGACGATTGCGGTTCCGAAAGCTTCGAATGAACATGGCGAGTTGAGATCACGCAGTGCCTGGATGGCCACTCTCATCCAGAATTCCTGTTTCGCTTCCTCATCATTCGATGTCTGCTGGGCTGGTCTGTCATCGGTGGCTATACAGACGGGAGTCAAGAGAAACGATAGTAGGAACACGCAGAAAGAGTTACTGAACGGTAGCATTGCGAACTAAAAGCACTGGACTTGAATCAGGAAGTGTAGAAGATTCGAAATGGAGACGGGATTGGGAACCCATTTCGCTCGCTTGAGATGCCTTAGGCACCCAGATACGAGGGCAACTTTCGCTAGGTCAGATCAGAGAAAGAAAGAGCAGCAGTTGACATACTCTGTTAACACACACAAACGCATACACTCTGTCGCTGAAAGACATCGCCACCGTGGCTACATTCAACGTCTCAGCGCTGCTCCCTCCCGGTGCTTACCTCAGCTCCGCACTCAAAGCGATCGAGAAGCTCTTCTCAGCAAATCCAGCAGCGCCCCCATCAACGCAGACCTCTATACTGGACACACTCACCCCATACATCACTCACCTCACCGATGTCCTTGCCGGCCGCACCACTCTAGAGAACACATCGATCTTCCTCGCCGTCTGCACCTTCGCTGTCCTCGCCATGTCCTGGGCCACCCGCCTCAACAATCTCGGCCGCTTCTCTCCATTCACACGCTCACCACCCCAAGGCGGAGCCCAGGTTAGCGATGCAGATTTCAGCTATATCACCGCCGAAGATCTGCGCAAGCACACCGCGGCTGATGGGGGCCAGTCGCAGCATCGTCAGCCGCAGCGAGCCGAATCGCCCGTGGAGTATGGACCGCCTCGAGATACGGATAGTCTGATGCTGCGGAACAAGAAGCGGGATTTTACCGTCCATTTTCCGGCGTACAGTATTGCCAAGGGGGAGCTGACGGTGGGGCAAGTGCGGGAGCATGCGGCGAAGAAGATGGGGACGGTAGATACACGGCGCGTGAAGCTGCTATACAAGGGCAAGAACCTCAAGGATGACTTGCGGACGTGCAAGCAGGAAGGCCTGCGGCATGAGGCGGAGCTGCTGTGTACAGTGGCGGACAGCATGCCTTCTGCCAATGGTAGCGAAGACGACGAGGATGACGATGACGGCACAGCGGAAGACGGGACAGGCGAAATGCTGGGCGCCGACGGCGAAGCAAAGCGCAGGCGAAACCGAGGCAAGAGAACCAAACGGCGGAACAAGCGCGAGCAGACGAGCGGCACGTCGACCCCGGCGGAATACGCAACAAACTCGTCGAATTTGTCGCCACCCCAACAAGCATCCTCGCAACACTCCCGCGCACCATCGCCGAAACCGCCGGGCACACCTCTGACCCCCATGGACAAACTCTACGCGCTCCGTGATAAGTTCTTCAGCGACTACTACCCACAAGCTCGGGCTTTCATCGAGCACCCGCCCTCGGACCGAGCGAAGCGAGACGTGGATCATAAGCGGCTGTCGGAGACGATATTGGCGCAGATTCTGTTGAAGCTGGACGCGGTGGAGACGGAAGGCGACCCGGATGCGAGGGCGACGCGGAAGGAGGTCGTGAGGCAGACGCAGGCGGTTCTGACGGAGATGGATGAGATTATGAAGCGGTAACGGAATGATGATGAAGTATGGGTTGTAATCGCATTCAGATCGACGCCGGCTGTGATGGGTGTTCGAGGCATCTGTGTGGGCATGCATGGCGTCGGCGTTCCTAGAAACCCATCGTGGGGCTCGATCAGTCGCGCTCAAGATTGGCGTGGCGAAGCTCGAGGGACGGTGTCTTGCAAGTTGCAACAGCATGAATGTACAAAGATGCCCGCACCATCGCTGCGGTTTTGATATCGCGGTCCTCACGTGACCATCTCATGTTTTATCACGCCGGCCGACCTCGGCAGAGTGCTGTCGTTTACCCCACACTTTCTCCGTTGCTCCAGATCGCCGGATCTGCAGGCCTCCTCTCTACACAACGTGCAGCTTGTCTTATTTGGGTCTTGATAGGCTTCGTATCCTGGAATTGACCACAGAGGAGCGTGTTCCGTCGTCCGGTGCGTCTAGAACCTCCACAGACGCCCCGTTGCGAAGCATTAGAAGGCTCAGGTTCTCCCATCTTCTGCCCTCAGTAGTACAGAACCCCTCAAGCAGTCGAGCACCTGTGCTGTAGCCTCCCTTGGTCCAACACCCAGCATCTCATCGCAACCATGTCCACAGCCCTCAAACGCCTCTCAGACCTCGCCTCCCACTTCGCGCCCTCCTCTTCCTCCCCGACCGCACCCTCCGTACCC